TATATTTTAGTTCATTTTCTAGTATGACTTTTTTTTTTTAATCCCAAAAGCCAGAAGCTGCCAAAGTAAGGTATATTATTTGAAGTAGTTCACATAGGTGCACATGCACCTACTAAGGAAGAACTGCTTTTAATTACCAATTCAAATTCTCTCATTTCTGTTGTCCTGTGCTGTAAGTCTACAAAATTCACTTATTTAGCCATAACATGGAAATAAATGCAGTGAAACATCCTGAGATGGCTTGAAAGAGGTGAGAATGTTGCACTGGTCCAAACCCCAGCCAGCCCTTTGGTAATTTTATGTCCTGCAGGAAGGTGTCTGCTGGTTTAGACTTTTAGACTCCCAAACATTGGGAAGATGCTCACAGCTGGAATAGCAGCCAGAGCCTTACAAGTCCTGGAAAATGGGCAAATATAGGAAAGCCTTATCGGCCTGAAGATACAATACCTGGGCAATATCACAGTGGCATTATCACAGGGCTTCACGGCCCAGGGTTTAATTTTCCTGGGTCTAATGTTCACTTATTTTGTGACTTTGAGCAAAACCTTTCTGTAAGAATGCTATCTGAATAAACCTATGGCAAGTATGAAATACTCCACATGGCAGAAGGGACTGGAAGTAATGGAGTTATTACAGCTTAATGCTTTGTCAGCTGGGCAGTGAAGACTGATAACATCAGCAAAGTGAAGCCTGGAGTGTTAGAATCATGGTCATTTCAGTGTGTTGGCTTGCCCTGAAGTTCTTAGTTACAGCTGTGAGACAGGGTAGTTACAGCAGGTGGGCATAGCAGGGAAAAAAGGAAAGTATGACCACTGTTACCTGACTACTGAGCTTAAACAGCTGATCATTTGATTGCTGTTGCTTTTGTGGAGGGGTTCTCATATGGAATTTGGATCTCTTTGGAGTCTTTGGAGACTGCTGAAGCCTGTGATGAACAGATCTCTGTGATAGTTCAGTGGTTTTGATATGGAGTTCCTCCAAACCCGGGAGGGTGGGTAGGTGAAGATGTGGAGGTACATGTGTGAAAGACATTTAGCTTTTTTTTTAGAGCATTGTGATTGGTTTCCTGGCTTTTTGCATCTGGGTCATAAGCAAACAAGCAATAGCAAGCAGCAGCCCCAGGTGTCTTCTTAGGAAGGACTTGTGGCTAAGATAGGATTTTTTGGTTTGCTCACGCTTCAGCTGTTGAGCCAGCTTCCTGACCCTGCATTTACATGAACCAAACCACGCCGTGTATTTTGGAAACCTAAGCACCCCAGGGAGATGGGTTGCTGTATACAAGGGTTTTCCCCTGGCACAGGAATCCTGACTTTGCTGCAGGGTGCAGTTTAACAGCATAGCTAAGTTGATCAAAAGTCTCACTGCCAGCAGAAGGGGAGACACTGCTGTCCTCCCTGCTGCTGCCTAGCTCTATGGCAGGAAGCTTTTAAATCCTCCTCTTTGAGTCTAATCAATCATCAGTGGGATTTGGGCTTCTCAGACACCTGGAATTTTTGGAAATGGTTTCCCACAGCTCATCTTAGTTTCTTCATTGGTAAAATTATGTGTGAAAATAATGGTTCCTCAATTAGGCGACCCACTGTTTATCTGTAAAGGATGGAGCCGAACCCTGCATTTGTTACACACCACAGACTCCTGGATGATGAAATACATGTGCAGGAAGTGCAGGATAGACTTTGTGCAAGGGAGTTATTCAGCTCCCCTGGAAAGGCACACCCTTTGATTAGACTTTGTGTGGCTGTGTGACAAAATGAGGACTCATTTGCCACAGCTGATGACAGTGAGGAGTTTGTGTATATGCACCTCTCCTGTTGTTTACTTCAAATGTTCAGTATTTTGTGTTTAACTGTCTTTCTTTTCTTGATTTATTGAGTGTTTCCTAGCTCTTCCCAAGGACAGAAATTCTCCCCTGCAAATTCCAGCAAAAAACTACACAACTCTTTATACATGTATAACACAGATCAATGTAATTGAAAAGAAAAATGGAAGTGGCGGGGTTCTGGGTATGTCAGATGTGAACACAAGGAGAGTCAGGTGTTCAGCATGAATGTCCCCTGAAATAATACACAAATGTTTTGTATAAACAGCATTTCAGTAAGTAATCATGAGAGGCCAGGAAACAGTTCACTTGATGGTTGCAAAATGCAGCACGGAATGACTGAGTCAGGCTGACGCTTAGGACTGGGATCACTTGTTTTGCGTGCTTTTATGTTCCATAAGGAGGCCTGCCTGCTGCCAGCACAGAGTGCTTCATTGGATTTGGTTAGCACATAGGTTTCTGGAAAGTCAGAAAGATATTGTGAGACTGCCGAAGTCTGTGATGAACAAAAGCAAGTAAAATGGAAGGAAGATGTTGATTCATCACAAGACAGAAGTTTTGGCATAATTTCCTCTTTGTTACTTGAGCATCATTAACAAAACCCATGTGTGCCCATACAGCCGAGCTCTTAGCAGCTCGGTAGGAAGCTGCCATCGAATCAGCTGCTTGTAGCTGGGGGTAAAACAGGAATCAACATGCTTATTGTCTGGGCTGGTAGGGGAGGAATGGGGAGGTGGGGCAGGGGAAGCAGGGGCGTGGGGGGCTTGGTAGCATCATAGCTATTTCTCAGCCTTGTGATGCCTGTTGTTCCTACTACTCAGGAAAAATGCTGAAACCCTGAGCTTGAAGTTAGAGAGAAGGAAATGAGAAATGTAAGAATTTAATAACACTGGAATCTTCAGGGTTTTACAGAAGAAGTAGAAACTTCAGAACACGTTGTGAGTTGTATTAGATTTTTGCTGGTTTGCTTGTAAGGCTATAGAAGTCACTGTTGGTGTACACGGTTCCGTCACATTTTTGGTGTGGGTTTTTTTGTTTTTTTTTGTTTTTTGTTTTTTTTTTCTGATTTTGCTTTCTTATTAAACACAGAATCTTTCTGACTTGACTTCTAGGTTGCCCTGCATTTCAGAGAATCTCTCCTCTTGCTCATCATTCAGTATCTGTTTCCAGACAGCATAGACTCAGTTCTGAATGCTGCACAGGAGTGTTTTCCTGCCTCAAGTGGCTTTTTCCTTTGTAGTCACTTCTTCCTTGGCCACTTTCTTGCATCAGAATATACACTCTTGACCTGAGTACAAATGAGCATGCTTCCTCATTTCCTAATGCCCTAGCAATTTGCCTGGGCTCTCAAATGTTCAAAAGGGTTGACAATGAGCTTCATGTTTGTGTGTCCTTTGTGCCCTAAGCTGTCAGTAGGGCTGCTCTGGAGAAGATCAGGAGTTGGTTCTCTGCCTTTTAGAAACATTCTTTTGCCTAGGAAGTGCGACCTAACTTTTTGCTCTGGTGTTGAGACCAGCACAGGCTGAAGGTCTGTTACTACTGCATGTATTTCTCATTATTGTAAAGCTTGATGGTTTTGCTGTTTTCTTTGCTGTGCTGCTTCTAGTCAGCTGGTCTACATCATCTTTGTAGAGGCTATTTGTAGCCTCAACAAGATGCTATTACATCTTTTAACCTTTTGAGACCCTGATGCCAGGAGCCACTGCTGAGGGAACTGGTTGTGGCAGCACAGGGCTGAGAGGTGTCTGATTTGCTGCTCTAAATTTACATTGTCTTTGTGATGTAGCTGCTTATTTTGAGTTGGCTCACGGAACTGCAGAAACGGAGTGACTGAGAGTGAGGGGGACCCTGGAGAATAACCAAACCTTCTCCCACCGCCTGAAGCAGGTTCGCCAGGAGCAGTTTGCGGACCTTTGCTTGCTCATTGCATTGCTGGGTGGTAGCAGCCCAGTCTAAGTGAACAGAAAATGGTTCAAAACTGGAAGCACTTCAGATGAGCACGTCAACTTTTGCAATCAGCAGCCTTGGTGCTTTGAGTGACTAATGCACCGTGCAGCATGAAGCTAAATTGGATTTTCTAGGGGCAGTGTGTTATGAGGTCCAGTCAAAGGACCAGCCCTTCTGCAGACAATGGGAGAGCAGTTGGGAATGCATACAGCTTCTGGTTGCCCACACCACAATGCTGGAAGACAGAAACCTTCCTGGCATGAGGGAAATGCGATCTGCTGGTCCCCAGCACCAAGCTGCCTGTTCTTGGGATACGTATCTGTTCCTGCTTTTCTTTGCCTTTTTGTGAATATGTTTGCAAGGTGAATAGTTGTATTTAATCCCTGATACAGTTGCTTCGGTAATCTCCTGTTTGTTGTGTGACAAAAGTGACTGCAGTCAGTTGGTGTCAGCTTGCTGTGAGAGTCCCAGGAATCAGTTTTCCTCGCAAGAGCTTTCAGACCTTTTCTTTCACTCCTTACAAGCATTTTGTGCTGCCACCTGGAGGGAGGTGAAGAGCAGTTAACAGAGCAGTTTGTGGGGTTAACAGGAAGGGAAATGGCTTATTTGGGACCAAAAGCGTGAAGTTGGAAGACCAAAAAGCATTTTCAAAGCAAAATTCTTGTGAGTGTCGCTAGGGATAGTTCCAGATTGCAGTTAATTGAAAACTACTGATATTTTATTTGTATGTGTACACTTATAAACTAGTATTCAGTACATATACAATGAGTTTTGAACTTGGACTTCACTGAGAGGGGTTTTTCAGATAATGCAAAATATTGTTTTGTGAGAAGCAGTAATAAATAATGTTTATGCTGCAATAGGATCAGAGAAAAATCACTGCAGAAAAAAAAAAGACCCTCTAATTGTCACTTATCTCTTTTTGGTGGGGTGATGTGAAGCCTACCAACAAAAGTCTCTTTTCACTAAGATCTGGCTTTGATTTTTAAATGTCTACGTGTAAAACAGCCACTATATGCACTGCAAGATAGATATATATATATATATATTTTTTTTTTTTTGACAAAATAAACTCTGCTCTGTTCAGAGGAAATAAAACAGAGAAACTGACATTTTACCATCACATTTGCTTTTTCTCTGTGATAGATGGGTGTATTTTTGGTGCTGTTGGATGTTAATGGATTTTTTAGTAGCTCTGAAGTTTTAATCTCTATTATTTGGTTTTGTTTTCCAGGTCAGATGTACAACTGCCTGTAAGTATCATTCTCTCATTTTGTTACATACATACACACACACACACACACACACACACACACATATATGTTTGTATGTAACTTCTGCTCTCTTTTCCTGTAAGGAAAATAAAGCAGTATCAGGTAAGTATATAAAAAGCTGCTGAAAATAATTTTTAGAAGTAGCATTCAAAAATGTGAACTCACTTCTTTTTAGTGACAATAGCTCCAGCAGTGCACTTAGGGATACCTTGTAATATAAAAAAAAAGCATTTTAATTCCATTGCTTTTCAGTTGTAAACAGTTCTGGTAAAATCAAATACAGATTTAGCATGAGTGGAAAGATGGGAAAACACATAAAAACAAAGCAAAAGAAACCACCACCCCAGAGCAAAAGAAAAAAACAAACAACAACAAAAAAAACCCCAAGACTCCCAAAATGTTGCTTTGAGGAATTTTTGGAGCGTGACAACTGCTGTTCTTGTCAGAATGACAGCATTTCATGTGTCAAGAATTTCCCAAAGCACTGCTAGGTGAGATCTACCTACATATTGAATGTCAGACTTAAATGAGTTGGCCTTTAAGTTTTAGGGCCAAACTAAACTGAGAGGGATAAACTCACCTTTTACACTGCTTTAAGAGAATATGTATAGTTCTGAAGGAATTGTGAGTCTGGCTTGTAGTGCTTTCTTTGCTTTCACTTTTTATGTGAATCCGTGTCTCTATCAGCTCCAAATAAATACAGAAATTATGATTCTGTTTGTTTTCCACTACTTCCAAACCAACAATCCTTTTGTTCATGGCCACCTTTCCTGAACTTGCTTGCGGTGTGTGTTGCTCATGAAACAGTATTTCAGCTTCAACTAAGATAGTAATTCTTGTGTGTAGCTGAATCAACTCTCCTTGCTCACTGGGCTGCACTCCGTCAGCCTAAGGTTTCCTGTGGCTGTCTGATATCTCTGCCATGTGGGAATGCAGTGTGTGAATACCACATCTCTTTATTTTCTCATCTACTGATGATAAGAGACCAAATCACTGTGCCAGGTTAAGCAGAGCAGTTAGCTTTATGTGATGCGTGAGAAAAATGCACACGTGGAATGTGTCTGTAAGTTCATTTGATTATTTTCCATCAAAACTGCACTGAAATAAAGAGCAGATCATGGGTAGCCTTCATTCAGTCTATGAGTTGAGTTAGTAAATCCTGAAATCTAATCTAATACAAATTGACAAAAGTTAAAGCTGGTGAAACCAGGAAACACAAAGAGAAACAAACTGGGAAAAAGGAGGTGATGTTGGATCTCTATTAATATCTATCAGGATATCTATTAATGACTGTATTTTGCTCACGAGGAACGCAGAAGTTTTGTAAAGATATTTATTGCCTTTTATGTTTTTTACCTTTCAGGCACTGACAACTGTAGCTTGAAAAACATAACTGAAGAAATGGGAACCAGTAGTAATGATGAGTTATCAGTGAATGCTACAAGTGGGAACAGGAGATTATCAGAGGATGTGTCACTATCTGGCAGGGCCATGAGTGATCAGAACAGCGTAGCACGTAAGTGATTTGGAATGTTGGTGGGATGTGAATGATCCTTCAGGGTTTTTTGGTTTTTTTATGCTATGTTAGCTGTTTTAGTCCAAACTTTTATCCAGAGTGCAAAGATCATGTCTGGAAATGGATCCGAGTGTTTTGCTGGAGTAGAGAATGAGACAAAGAAAAGTATTTACACAGCTAACTGGAACTGTAATATAACACTGTGATTGTAGCATGGTCCTGAAATAGCTTGATCACTGGAAGAACTGAGTTCCTTCCCCTGACTATTATGGGAATGTATTATTATGTGAAAATATACGTAAAAATATTATTAGATTTTTGCAGTACAGCTGCAGTAGTTCAAATATACAGTGACCTACAAATTTGAAATATATATGTGTGACAGAGTACAGCTGAAATAACCTACTAGAATCTAGAGGAGAGATCTGTGAATGTTGCAGCTCGAAGGACCCCTTGGGATAACCAGGTTAGGAAAGCATAACAGGCTGCATGGTCCAATCTTTCTCACCAGTTTGCATGAAGTTAACACCTGACACATGAAAGACATCACTGCTGCACCAAGACAGCTTTAATGCTTGAGATGAAACTTCAGGAGTTGGAGCAAAAAGAGTAGATCATAGAGCTAGTAAGCATGCTATACAAGATACAAGAGCAGCTTGATTAGAATAGCAGTTAGCCAAGGAAAAGACAAAGCTCTATCAATAAGATAGCTGGAAGAGGAACACTACACATTCGCTGTGAGCAGATGATCTTCTGTTCACATTGATGGATTATTGTCTTGCCTTTCCCAGAGACCAACCCAGTACTTGGTCTCGAGGCAGAATATGTTGGTGTGAATTCTGTCAACTTAAATTTGCCAACTTATATTTGAATATCACAGCTAATGACCCCTACACATACAGAATGAAACTTAGAAATAGTGTCTCCAATAGATATAAAACGTTAAGTAGCACCAAAGCCAATATTACCAGGCTAATTCCTGGGATGTTGTAGTTTCACAGTCTTTGCTGTAGTGACTGATGGTCAGACAGAAGGAGAGGGAGCATCCAAAACATGTCACAAGTAAGTGACAGTTTCTTGCAGACGTGTTTCTGGTGGAATGAGTTTTGCTGTGCAGCACAACGCCCTGCATGCACGTGTGAGCAGTAGAAAAGAAGGAGAATACCTAGGTCCTTCTGTTTTTCTTCCAGCAATAATTGATCTTCCTTATCTTTAGCTGTGCAGAAATGCACCACCATTGCCCCATTTCCCTGCACCATTGTCTCCTTCCTGCCCATCTCTCCACATTCCCAAGGGAAACTGTGGGAATACTGGCACAATAGTCATGGCTGCTCTTGCTTCTGGATGCAGGAAGGAGATGAATCCCATTCAAGATGCCTCTTCCACATTTTCCACTTATAAGCCCGTTGATGGTAAAGCCTCCACAAACCTCTGGTGCTGTTGCTGTGGTGTTCTTGCACTCTGATTGATGAGTGATGTGAAGAAAGTGAAGCAGTGGTGTGTCTGTGTCTTTCCTGCATTGCTTGTCAGCAGATACTCTTCCTGTTCTGTTTGTGAGCAGATACGGTTTGATGGATTGTTGTCTTGCCTTTCCCAGTGCCCAGCAAGCTGTTTGATCTCAAGGCAGAGTATGTTGGTGTGACTTCTGTCAACTTAACCTGGATAGTGAATGACACAGCATCAGACACGTACAGATACAGAATAGAGGTTAGCAGTGGGCACTCCATTAACAATGAAACATCAAATATCACAGAAACTGAAATTACTGGGTTAACCCCTGGGACACCGTACACTTTCACAGTCTTTGCAGTAGCAGCTGATGGTGAGACTGAAGGAGAAGGAGCGTCCATAAGCCTGTATACAAGTAAGTGACATTTTCTTGCAGTCATGTTTCTGGAGGATTGTGTTTTGCTGTACATCACAGGGCTCTGCATA